CAGTTGAATGTAGCATAAATTATAGGGAAAAACAGATAATCTTTGCAGATGAAAAGGTTCAAATTAACCTGTTTTGAAGATGCCTTAGCAGAATTTGTTGCATTGTAATAAAGAAGATCATGAAGAAAATTAAAAACCAGAGAAAAGAGGCCTGAATTTGACCTTCCAAGCCATTTCATCTGGAAAAGTTTTCAATCAAGTTGGTACAGACTGGTAATACAAGTTTTTTCAGTTACCTCACTGGATGTACAGGTGTCTGGATAAAGGACGTTGGAAAGCTTATCTACCAAAATTTCTTGATTATTCTTATTTCATTACAAGCCAATATTCTCCCTTTTTTCTGTCACTTGAAAGCTATGTGTTCTTTTGCTAATTAGTGAGGTTTTGTTAACAAAGACAGTATACCATGAACTTGTATACAGCACACCCAAAAAATGCTCTGGCAATATAAGTTACTTTCTTCTTCTTTGTATTCCCTTCATATTGTATTTCACTTCTAGTTCCAAAGGTTCCAAAACCTTTTAAAATTGAAGAAACAAGGCTTGAAGAGTCTACATAGACATCAGAGTTTGATCTTTTCATATCAAGCCTTAATACATGAGATAATTGAATGAGAAAGTAATGTTGACAAATACATGACCTACTTTGAAGAGCAGCTTTTGCTATTGTCACATAAAGAAATGTTCCTGTACCAGAATAAATTCTGACTGTATAAAGGAATGCAACATAGCCAAGAATTTTAGGCCTGATCTCTGAAAAAAGTTTCTAATTCTAATTGGTTGTATTTCTTGATTGTCTCAAAAGAAAAAGACAAAACTCCAATTTTATGCTTTTAGGGCTGCTTTTGCTTCTGAAATAGGACTTGTGAGACAGAACCATTTAATCAGATATGTACCATAAAGAAAGATCTGAAGACGCTTATAGAAGGAATCGAAGGTGTGACTCAAATATAACTTTTTCAAAAGTAAAAGGAAAAAAATTATAGTCTACACATTAAAGATTAAATTCTTGAATTGTTTATTCCAGGTTGTTTTAAGGAAAAATGTAGCCTTAGATGTATTAAATGTCTCTCACAGTCAGAGAACATGGCATATAAAAGCAGTTACAGCTACTTTAAGGTCCACTGGAGACAGCATTTCTAAGTAAGAGATGAACTCAGTAAATACTTCTCAGTGCCACACCAAGATGAGAGAAAAAAATGTATCCTTGTTTACAATTAATGGCATACTGAACTTATTGAAAATGTACATATTTTCATGTGTTGAAAATAAAGATTGTAATGAGATTACCTTCACACATTTGCTGGTGTTTTTGCTGCATACATGAATCTGAGTACAGACCTATTTTGTGAGCTAAAACAGAACAATAACCTGTGCAGAACTGTCGTTTTAATTTTATGGCCCAATTATACTCGGGACAAGAAGACAAAATGAAATTATATGGGTTGGAGAAAGTTCCATTATTTGCACTGATCAAGTAAAAATGAAAATCATCCAGACCAACAGTTTCAGCTGCAAGTGTTGATTGTGCCAAGCTGCTGTTACCAAAAGGCCACAATTTTGTTGTCTTCAATATTTAAGATTTACAGTTTCAAGAGAACTTGAGGGATATAGAAAACAAAGCAGAGATCTCTTAGGTAGGCATTTCCCTGAAAGTCCAGGCTGCCCTCTCCCACAGTGAATTATCTTGCATGTCTGTGGTCTTAGTTCATGATCAAAGTAACATGAGGAACATCTCACAAACAACAATCACCTGATTACCAGGTATTTAATTTTTCATGTATGTTATCTTACAGAACACCTACTAAACATGTATTCAGATGATGAAGAAAATTACAGGCATCTTTCTGGGACAGAGTTACCTACAGAAATGACTTCCCTGTGCAATGAAGTGGTCTCACTTTTAGTTCAGTAACTTCCTATACTACTATGTGTAGTGGCTGATATTACTGGGATGCACTGGCCTCCAGCTTGAGGTGAAATGCAATGCTATGAAAGCATGACCATTCACTTGGAATTTGAGAATGCTTCTCTGATGTCAATAATCTAGCACCAGAGAAAGCCCTGAAAAGAGGTCATGCCAATGATGCATTCACATACTCTGCCCTACACATACTGGAAAGAGAGAAACGTTGCCAACTTGTTGCAGGTTCTTCCACCAGTTAAAGTTCAAAACAAAGGACAGAACCTTTATTCTTACATCAGGCAACCTGATTTTAAGATATCTGCTGCCATCCATGCATACAACATACCTGGTTTGTTTAACTCTACAAGGCTATCTGATGTCAAAGCTGAAGCACATATTTAGCATTGTACGTGGCCTGTTCTCTGGATAATTAATCAGAAATGTTGTCATGTACTGTCATTCAAATAATATGTCTCAGATATTAAATATATCTGTGTAAGAGTTCAGTGTTTTTCTATTTGATAAAAATACACTTCTTAAAAATCGGGACCCCTGTTTCAGGTGATGTAGGGAACTAGCAAACACCAAGAGCAAAACTGTAATCCCCAAACATAAAAAGGAACCATCAACAACAGGCTGATTATTCTTTGGTAGCAGACTACCAAAAGTAGCCTAGACTACCTGAGGTAAAGGTAAAATTATGAAGATTTTAGAATAATTTTTTGGCTGTATTAATCTCTCACTTTTATCTGAATTATAATGAATCATTGCGAATGTCATTAAGAAAACATAAAAAAGCACTGTAATTGAGTAGGAAATACTTACGCCTTATTTAGATGGAAGTTTCTGATTTAGAAATCCTGTAAAAAGCATTTAAATTGTTTCACTTAAATGCACAAAAATCTTCAATTAAACTAACCATTATTTAAGATTCAGACTTTCCACGAATTTTCAGAAGGTTATAGTTAGGTCATATGATGATTTGTATTTGTTGTCACTGTTGAACTTGAAAAGAAACAAGGGACCTTTCAGTGAAACAACAGTGAGCTAATAGAACACTGGTTCTTGCTGACCATTATTGTTCAGCTTTTAAAATTTTAGATAGGAGATAAGCCTTAAAAACTTTTCCAAGAGAGACAATTTTGATGTGTTCCTTCCAGATTTTGTTATTCTTTTTCCACATTAGTATTCCTTGTCTCTTGCAGAGTTACCATGTATCATCTACCAGTAAGGAGTCAAACAAATTAAATGATCAAAATAAAATATGAGTTTTTTCATTCAGGGTAATATTGTGTCTAATATAGGATCCGTATATTACTTAAATAATTCTAGGATACAAGCTGAAAATGGAGGGCGTAATTATAATTTTACTGTAATTATCTCATTTACTAATGGTAAATTAAGGATTACTGATGGTAAAATGTACTATTGAAAAGCTTGTCAAAGATACCCTGAACTTTAGTCATTTTGCCTGTTATTTTTTCTTAGCTTTCTGAGCAGAGATAAAAGGAAATTCAGCTTTAACTCAATCCATAAGTCAAATCATCCCCAAATTAGAAGCATAAAATTCTAAGAAGCATGACCTTATAGTCCCAATCTCAGATAAAATTAAATGCATTAATTACAAGTTATTGAGTGTAGATTTAACCAAAGAAGGTAAGAGTCAAGTGAATCCAGATACGATGAAGAATTTAAACAAAATTATACAACAGCAGAAATCTGGAAAAGTTAATTATCTAAAGTCAGTGGATGTTCTTTCTGTTTTCTTATCTTTGCTTTTAAACATCAAGAAATATTTAGTATCATTCAACTACCCAGAATAAAATTGTGATTGCTGAGGATAATTTACCATAGAAAAAAACTAGTAACAACAGAAAACACCCAAAACATTAGAGAAATCAAATGCCCCCAGACCTAGGAATAAAAGACACCATTCAAATTGTTTCCAGTTATATTTGAAAATATTTGCTATATACTTGATATAAGCATCTTATTTTAGTTTCAAAGATGACAAACACTATCTTTGTTTATATTAAATTTAAAAAAAACAATTTGAATAATCTCTTATCATTTTGCCTCTCTCTTCATCAAAGAAGATAGGATTTCTCACTCTTATTTCACAATAGTTCCCTAAACATATAGTTTTCTATTGATCTAGCTATGAAATTATTTTTTTCAATCTCTACCAACTAGGAATGAAGAGGATTCATCTCATTCAAGACCAATACTACAAAAACCAATTAATAAGTTCACACTGAATTTCAATTTTTATTATTTTTATTTTACAGTAATCTACTCCTATTTATATTTTAAATACAATACCCTTTTAAACTTGATATGCAGATCCCATAAACTAGCTATCAAAGACATTTGTTTCATAACATCAGCTTTCCTAAATATTATACACTTCTGCCACAAATTTAGCCTAAATAAAGCAACTTTTATACAGCATTTGAACGGACAAAGGTACATGCTTGGTTTACTGACAATTTCCTATTCTTGAAGCTTTGATCTGTGAAAAAGGAAATACTTTAGTCCTTTTTAAAGCATTTTCATTGTGTAAATCTCTGTTTACAGATAAAACCTTCCCCATTCCATCACTTCATTCAATTCTTATCATCAGAGCAAATACATTGAAGTTTTACTTTAATGAATCCCATCACTGTTGAAGAAACAATCACAGGCTTCTTAGAAATCTCTTCCTCATCTTTATTGGTGGGTACATAATGATATCTAATTAAATTCTTTCAACTTCAAATTCTTATTGGAGTATATTGACCACACAATGATGAAAGTAGATGTATGAATCACCATGATTTCAAAAACTACAATACCTAAATTCTAGGCAAATCTGGAAATTAAAGGGTGTTTTATTAAAAAAAATAATGTTCAGAACAAAAGTATGTCTCATAATACTGGTCATAAAATATCAGAACTCATTGTAGAGTAGTAAGAAAAAAAATTAGGAATAATTCTGTGTATTTATGATAAATGTATTTTACTACCAAAGACAACAGCAATTACTACTTAAATCCAAAGACCTAAAGTTTTATAAAGCTTTTTTTGACAGAAAAAGTAAGCTTTTTTTTCTATACCTGTAAGTTCTTTCTCTTCAAGACTGTATTCCAGAGATCCAAAGGAATAATTAGCTGGACTGATTGCAGGAGTAGAAACAAAACTTGCACAGCCAATGGAAGGGTTGATTTCAAAATAATTGTGGCCGTGATTCATTCGGTGAAATTCCAGAGAAGATACTATGGATGTACGTTGCTTTGGCTACAAGAAAAATAAAAATTTTCATTTGGCATGAAAAATACAGACTTTTTATATAGTTTTCATCACTTGGCATTTAATAAACTTTTCTCTGGTTTTACTGTTTCTATTTGGCTCAAAGGTCATAGTAGTAAAAATCATTTCATATGACAAGCTATAGTGTGTAGAGATATTTTCCTTCTAAAATCTGGATTAATTTTTATTAGAAAAAAGCATGTCTTCATTCTAATCAATTTAATTCAACATAAAATAGGCCTTTACAGCCTTGCATATAATAATTTCAATCATCTTTTGATAAGAAAGGGAGCTCTTCACCAGCTGCATTGCTGGGTACATCTTGCAAAACAATTAGACTGCTGATGCCTGTATAATGAAGTTTACTAAATAATACCAAGTGCCCATCACTGGAAAGCCACCCTCTGCTGTTTATTCCATTTATGAATATGCCTCAAATATTCAATGACTGAAATGTCTGGAAGCTTAAGGGAAAAGTGTCAGCTTAAAAAACATACATGAAAATCAAACTTTGTGTGTGAGTTTTCATGGAACAATTAAACAACTTGGTACTACTTTAAATATTTACTTTCAAAGGAAACCTCAAGGGTCCATTTAATGGTTGTGCTTTGGATTGCAAAGCAGTTTTAAAGCATGAGAAACTAATTTATTTTGGGTGGATCTACACCATCAGATGTAGAAATTAAATCTATATAATGAGTTCATCAGGTCAGCAACAACTTTTTCACTACATGGACTTGTTCCCATTTCACTGCACTATGTACTAGTGCAGGCATAAAGTAAGTGGTCAATATCACGGCTTTTAAGCCACAGACCACTGCTGGCTTGCAATGCCATGCTAAATAGGCTGCTGCAGCACTCATTTGGTTCTAAACCCACAATACTCTAACTCCACCATGCTCCTTCCTGCTTCAAGATCAATGACCTGAAACATTAAACATCTCCAAAACAGAGGGGGGCCTGCATCCACATTTATAGCTGTCTATGCATTTCACAATAGAGAACACCATCTCAGGAAATTCTGCCTTGGATAACCAAACCCAGACAAAAATAAGAAAAAGAAAGTAAAAGATTCTCCACCTCTTCTTGTTCTAGTATGTCAGGCTTAGCATGTCAGAATATTTGTTCCTTACTAGTGTCAAGAGCTAATTATTACCTTTGGGAGCAATAAGATCCTCCTTGGACCACAAGTTATTCACTATCCCTTACTTAAAACTACCTGTTGAGTCTATCAATCTATCCCAGTGGAGTAATTTTCAAATTAGTTTTCAATCAATTTAATTTTTAGGTTACATGTCCTGCAACACTTGTGTTATAAATACCAAACCAGGCTGTTTTCACTAAAAATTCACCCTTCATATTGGAATGTCAGACAGAAAAATTCAATAGAATTAGGTCTGTATAATGTTGGTTATTTATTCAAGTTGTGTTAGGCATCACGTGAATTAACTGTGTCATGTAAAAACTGAGAAAAAAGGGAAATCTTGGTAATCATCTGGAACTCATCCATGGTCTACTAAGTGAACTTTCTTTAATAATTAAAACCAGTTTCTGCTTTGAAAGACTGACTCCTAGGTCTAGTTATTTAATGGAAGAGTTAAATGAACAGGGATAGACTCCAACATTAAACAGTGTGATTGGAAGTCATTGTTGGGGATCTGAGCCAAAATAATTCTCAGATCAGACCAAAAACATTTATCTGTATTAACTAAATCTAAATGGCACATTTTTGCTAGACAACAGATTAATGAATGACCTAATTATTTCTAAAACTGAAAATGATCTCTGGTCATTTAGAAGTTTCTGGCCCCTTCCCAAGTAATGGTGTCTTTGCAGATTTGCAGGACTTGAACTCCTGTGCTGAAAAGGGGACACTTAACATGAGGTAAGGTATATGGTTATTTTTAAGCTGAGACAGTTCCTGCCTAAATGGGCAGCTGGAATGGTCCATCTTTGTCTCACAAAGCAGCGCCAAAGGCAACTGCCCTGGCCTTTGTCTCGTCAGCCCTCCAGCCACTGTTCTGTCTGTGTGCCCCTTTCTTAGAGGCAGAATAGCAGCATCTGAAACACCATTAGTGGTCAATACCAAGGTGGTTTCACTACCTTATTCTGGACTTGGGCATCATTATTACTGATTCAGAGAACCATATCTCAGTTTAATATGCCTTTCCAATCTAAGGCTTCTGCAGAGAACCTCTCTCAGCCTCTAGTACTGTACAGCATAACACTGCTGCAATATATTTGGAGTTAACAAGGTCCATCCATCAACATGTACCAATCATTTTTCTACATAATTAGTCAGAAATCCAGCATCTAAGCCTTTGTAGCTAACTAAGAAACTAGAGGAACTAGAGGAATTTTTTGTACTTTTGCTGTGTCCTGTAAAATGTTATGGTGTTAAAATACACTAGTTGTTCATTAATACATGATTTGAGATGCTTAGTAAACCAGTTTCTGCTGAGTCTATCTGTCTTTATCTCTCTAAAATGCTATTTGCACAAAAAACAAAATAACAAAAAACCCAGTAGAAATTAATCAAGGTTTTTTCTACAGTTAGGATTAAATTCCATTTCCAATTTCATCAATCAAATTTACAGCATAGCTATTTACATGTACCCTAGGTATTAAAGTTCCCAGATCAGTCAGTTGAGATCTAGTCAATAAAATCACAATCTAGTCAACACCATCAACAGTTCAGAGAACAGCTCAGTCACCCTCACTCCAGTCCCCTTGGTATTGATTCCCTTGCCTTAATGCAGGTATCTACCATCACTGCAGATTCCTTAGGGCATCCCACCTGGCCTCCAGCTGCCATTCAGAAGAGTGCAGGTCTCCCCCATATATGCCCTGTAAAATACTTGACAGTCTCTCCATGTGCATTTCAAATACACCTCTATAGCACCTCAAATGACATTAGATTCCTATTTTTAGATAACTGAATTGAATCCTGCTTCTGTCCTGAGCATGATGGGAGATTAGGTCTCTAAATCAGACAGAGATTCTTATATACAGAAATGAAAGCAGAGGTGTTCCAGTCCCAGATTTAATCTCCCATCCAGCTCACATTTAGACAAGCTATAGGAATCTTTTCTTAGAATTTGATGTCAATTTCCAGTCTTACTGGAAGTAACCTTGGTTTGCTGATTGCACCTGCCAAAGCCCTGTTTAACTACATTTACCAGGAACTCTTGAGATAGTTTCTGAAAAATCCTAAGATTATTTACTATATTGAACACCAAAACTCAGTTAGGGGTCAAGTTTTAAGACTTTTGAAACACAAACACAAAACTCTGTCCCAAAGGGATAATCCTTCCTTCATTCTTCAAAGCCAGCTTTGTCATTACATGCCTTCCTTTTACTACTCCAAAGGTCTGGACATTGATCTTAGGGTCAAGGGTCTTAGACAACCTTTGTGAAATTCTGGCATACTTATGGCTTCACTTCACCCCAATAAGCACACTACATTGCATATACTACATAGCAGATTTGTCCTTAAGTAGATTTTTATTCATTACATTCATATGTTTATCTACTTGTTATGTGTCAATCTATTTCATGACCAATATTTACTTTTAAGGTATTTCTTCACAAATACTATTTCAATTGTCATAATACCAACTTAGAAAACCGCACACCATCCTAAAATAGCATATCAAATCAGGCTAATAAATAATGTGAATAAATCTTTTCAATGCATAAGAAAAAAATGTCAGTACAAATCTTTAAAGATACTGCAATAATAAGATTTAAGTAACTGTTAAATCAGGTATAATAAAAATATTTTCATGTTCAGTCTGTAGTGAACATATATCAATGAAAGATACCCCTTTGAAACTGCAAAAACAGGAAAGCATCAAAATACACACACTGAATTGCATTTTTATTAAAAAGTCAAGCAAGGACTTAACTCCTCCATTAATGGAACTTGCATGCAAATTCTGTAATGCTACCATGATTGGCATGTAACACTATGAGCAGGCAAGGGATCACTAAAATATTTCTTAAAACATTTACCAGAGGCAGTAGGGCAAAACTCCTTCCTCAATTTAAGACCAAAATATTTCTTCAGCTTTGAAGTATACTCTGCAATACAAGCTTCTGACTTCACCTTCTTTTACCTTTGGGGTTTCTATACATAGCACTATCATAGTCTTAAAAAAAATAATTCTCTCAACACTCAGTACTATGGCAGAGCTAGTTGATCCATTTTACAGATGCTGAGCAAGGGTATAGATCTTTCCCAAGGGACAGATACGTGGTTTGTTAAAACACTGAGAAGCAATGAGCCTAATGAAGTTCTGCACATGGCAAAACCTGACAAATTCCAGCTGCCCTAAACTGGCTTCAGTTGCAATATATCATGCAGAAAATGTATGATAGGAGAGACAACTGCATCTACATTTTCATATTCTAGTTAGCTCATAAAACACAGACTTACCAAAGAAAGCAAGAGGCTGCAGCCCCTTCCCCCAGGCTCATCTCACATATTTAGCACTATGTAAATGTACTTATGAGGCCACTTAAATCCCTCATTTTGATACCTGCCCAGATGATTCAACTCTTTCAATTCTCTGATCAACTCACTCCTTCAGAAATTTTCCTTTCTCCAGATTCCTTCTAAAATCTCATTCTATACACTCATTTTCCCTTTCATAGAATCATACAATGGTTTGAGTTGATAGGAATTTCTAAAGATCATTAGATCCAAACCCTCTGGAATAAGCTGGGACATCTTCAGCTAGACCCAGTTGCTCAGACCCCCATCCAATCTGACCCTGAACACTCCCAGGGTTTTGCAACTTCTCTGGGCACCTCTCTTCTTTTGTTTTCTCCTACCTATTGTTACATTCCTTCCAAAGCTACTTATGTTACTCTAAAAAGACCTGCACAGTATCCAGTTGATTCCAGTTTTATTTGTTCCAAAATTTGCTTTTCTGTTTTCTCTGTGGTTTTGTCATCAAGGTCTCTCAAACAAACTCCCTCATGGT